GTCGGGTTAAACACAACAAAGGCCAAACACATTATCTGATTGTACCACATGTACAACAATGACTGTACTACAACAATACATTGTAGAGGCTGACTTACAAAAGCAAGAATACTAGAACCACAGTGATTAGATAGTGCCAGAAGAATCGGTTAGTCACTGAGGATGGGGAAAATATTTTGAAAAATCAATGTAAAGTAAGCCAAAGATTTGTGGCTATGGGAATTCCCATTCGTTATTGTGATATGATGTTGAATTAGCTATGCATCAATGATGGATGTATATAGTTTTATTCTTTAGATTTCGGATGGTTAGAAGAGGGGAAGGTGTGTGATGTGACATAGATACTTTTTGATCGGTGTCATAGTGAAAATAAGTCCATCATGCCAAATAAATGGAACAAATGGCAAATAAATTAAAAACTGGCATAACCAAAGTGATGAACTTAGTACCGAGATTTTTTTTTATCCACACAGCCGATGGCCTACTTTCAAACCAATGAAATGTGATTTCTCTGTATTTTTAAATGGGCACCGCCTTCTTTTCACATGTTTCAAGATACCATCTCCCTTAATCCTTTGGATAATGTCACATATACGATATCGTCTAAAGCCCCATTGTCCTAATTGTAGCTACTTGCTCCCTCTATATAGAAAACTTCCCCAATCGGTGCCTGTTGGTCCCCATGATCCTCTATTTCTTATGTTATTTGAGAGCTGAGTTGATGAGATAGCCACCTGTCAGTGACCCCGCTGTGTGGTCTAATCCCTCCTAGCCACACTAGTGTTGATGGTATTTTGAAATAATGCGAGGCATTCTTGTACACATTAACAAAACTTTGATTCTAAGTGCGTGGGAAGACATCAGAATCTAATCGTTTCATTGACTCAATTTCCTAAACACCACGACTAATGTGTATGGTCGAGGAGGTGGGACCAGAAACCTGGTTGGAAACAACACCTTTTATAAACCCAACATGCCCGACAAAAAGTGTGATATGCCAGCCTATAATAACATCGGATGGTATACAAAGTTTCTTTTCATATGATTATTCTATTCATTGTGAAATGGGCTCTTAGAGGACACAAAAGAAGCAGACAGAGTAAATACACTCGGTAAGTCATTCACGTTATGCTTGAGAAAGGAAAGCGTGCTTTGAGGAAGTTCACTTGTATAATTACAAGCAAATGCATACAGTGGACATAAATGCGTTCGATTGCTATCTATCATGGTAGACAGTGTTTCATTTGTTTAAATACACTTAATAAACATGTATTGTATAACATAAGGCACCTGTCAAATACTTCGTTATCTGATATAAGTTTGAGTTCAACAGTATATGTCTGTTCATCTTCGGAGAAAGGACAAATCTAACATTCCAAGAGAACAAACATATTCATGATATTTGCGACAATAATTATTGCCATTCACCTGCGGATGAGTTGGAAACTTCTGAAAACACAACACACGCAGTGATACATTGAAGGAGAGGGAAAGTCGAAATCTTTCATTTGCCTCCATAAATTATTATTTCATAGCAAATGTTAAACAATGGATCTCAAACTGGTTTGTTATTACACGCTTCCAGTCATCCTCATTTTGGCACAAGCATCATCAGCTATGGAAACATATGGTAAGTGAGCTTTGCTTACAACCCTATTTTTATGTTTCATGCTACTTTTCGACTCTCACGCTTTGCATTATAATATATCTGATACTATTCCTAAAAATTACTTTGTATTGCCTAAGCTTTGCAGTGTTTGATAGTTGTTTTCCAATATGTTTAATCCCGATTTCACATGTTTTTTAAATTTTTTACCTCAGTCAAATTATGAAGCATAATTCTGTTACATCTTTCCAAATGGTACTGGGGTAACTTTTTATTTAAACTGTCCATTGGGTTGATTTGAATCTAGAGAAAATTAGCGACTGGCAATTAAGGATTCTTATCATTAAATTACTATAAGTTTTCAAGCATTTTTGTGCTTTTTCGCACTGATACTGCTGAAGACGCTCCTTTTTATCTTTTGAAACAAACAAAAGGATAAGAAAAACGAATAAAAAAAAAACGATCCAACAAAGAATGAATATAAGAAATAACACGAACATACAGTATTAATGAAATACTCTATACATAAACTGACCAACGGGATGAGTTTTTATTCAATTTTCGATAATCGTCTTGATGAACTGTTTATTTTTAATCAAACAAAAGGAATTAAAAATACAAACATAACAAGCTATCTCCCAAAGAATTAATATAATAAATAAAATGAACATGCAGTATGATTGATATACCCTATACGTATAATGACTAACGGTACGACTTTGTCTTCTCTTATTTGATAATCATTTAGATGAACTGTATATCGGATGCTTCATAGATGATAAAAATAATCGGGTGCTACCAGATGCCCGATTAATATCTAGTAACATGACAATCGAGGTGTGCATTGACTTCTGCACAGGATTGAATGACATTGATTCTGCTTACGCTGGAGTAGAGTTTACGAATGAATGCCACTGTGGGGTTGCTGGTACGGACTACAGTCGACTTGGAGTGCCAGAAGACGATGACTGTAATTATTGGTGTGCGGGGGATGACACTACTTTGTGTGGGGGCCTAGCCAGAATCTCTATTTATAACCGTAAGTTCAAGAACCGCCAGAACCAATAGTGACTGTCCATTATCGCCCAAAGTAGCGGTTTTTAGCTAACGGGGAAATATGCTGTCCTCAAAGGACATACATTTCCCATGTTATGCCTATGCAAACAATGCAATTCAATCAAATATCATTTCAGTATGGGCGTTGAAGGTAGATCAATCTAAAAAAAAGAAAGGAAAAAATGGTATTTTAGTACTAGCCATAAGTTGTTTAAATATTGCACGATTCTAATGTGGACATTCCCTGTACTAATCACCTTTTGGGGATGAAATTGATGATATGATTTTTTTTTTTATAGATATGAAATCTTGTAAACAATGGTGCCGACACTTTGTTCGCGGCGTGTAAATGCTCCTCGTAATCGTGGTAGGGTTGGACGGGGTGGGGAGAGGGAGGAAGGGAGGGTAGCAGGGGCAAGGGTACAATGTAAAAGAAAACAATCCCTTTTGTCTATAGTGCACAATTAATTTTGAATCTGTTTAATTACTGTTTTTGTTATTTTGTAGACGCAGAAAACTTTATTTTTGTACATGCTGGTTTTCGATGAGATATGGGAAACATATTGATTAATAAAGATCCTTGGTCCTGCTTTCTTTTATATCTAGTCTTATATTTGTCTTTATCTATATCATAACCAAGAACTTATAGACATTTATTTTCCCACCGCATCTAACATGTCTTACATTTTTCAGTTTTACTGATTAGATCTCCAACAACTACTGAAACTGTTTCAAGTTCATTGATAGCAACTTCACAAGATGCATCGACAGCATTTGACAAAACAACAGAAGAAATCAATGAAAGCACAATTCTAATATCAACACATTCTACAAAATCAGGTAAGTAGATGGTATAGATAGGATTTTGCTTGATATAGACCCGACCAAACTTTAATATACCGAGATCATTGAAAATTTACCACTCTATTTAATAAATACCCTTTCTCGACATGCTAAAATGATAAAAAATAGTAAAATCTATGACGGGGTGCTAATGATATATAAAATTCACAGATAATAGAAAAAATACATGAAATGTATAATAGTCACTGGAAATTGAGAAAATATTTGAAAAATCAATGCAAATCATGCCAAATCATGGCAAATCTTTTGCCATCACTCCACCCTTGCCCCCCTTTCACTTTCTTCCCCACCCGCTCTCTCCCCATCTTCCCCCTCTCTTTCCCTCCATCTCCCTATCCCCTAGTACACTAGCCTCTTGTCGATGACCCTCGCACGTGTTGGAGTCCGTAAATTCTGGCGAGCGAAGCGAGTCAGAGAAACCGAGCGCGAGCTGACTCGCTTCGCTCGCCAGAATTTACGGACTCCAACCAAGTAACTTCTTGCTCCAACAACGCGAGGCCCATCGACAAGAGGCTACTAGTACACCCGCTTTATAACGTTTTATCAGGTTTATAGTCTCCTTTCACAGGGATTGTACAAAATGAAGGTCGAATCATTAATTTTCATTCTAAACCTTTCCATGAAATTCGTGTATCATATTTCAAATTGGTCAATCCGGCTATCATACAATTATGATAATGCCATCTCTATGCACCTGATTATAATTCGAATAGATCCCTCAATCTTTGCTGGCGTACAGTCTACTTTGATGACTTCGAGTCTTCAACCCGTTACAGGCGACAAAAGTGGCATTGGTATGTACTCTGTTCTTGGTGTTTAATAATAATAATAGGCATTTCTATAATAATAATAATAATAATAGGCATTTCTATAATAATAATAATAATAATAGCTCACATTTATAATGCGCCTAATACTTTGTTTCTAGGCGCGGAACATATTAGCGCCGTCTATCTAGATAATTCTATTCCGAGGCGCATTTATTATTACCCCGGCTTTAGCCTAGCTGCCGTTTATACAGCGCTCCAGCATTTCAAGGAATTAATTCCTGCCAGGTACCCACTTACATCAGTTGAGTGTGGCAAATGTAGATCAATCTCTTGCCAAATGGCATTAGTGCCGCGGCGGAACTCGAACCGCGGACCTTGCGATCGACAGTCCGGCGACGAGGGATCATTGTGGGGAAGGCAAATTAGATAAATAAACAACCATTCCGTTTTATTTGAACAGGGTAGCCCCGTCAGTAACTCATCTCTATAAATTTTAGAATGGCATTTCGAAAATCGATAGGGCTTTTTTATGAATGCTTGCTTATTGATTTTCTTGTCCTCTGAAATTAAATAGACATATTGAGCACCTGACTTTACACTTCGAAGTACTTCTTTAATGTATTTTTCCCGTCATCTTTTGGTTCAATTATTTGCTGCATTTGCATTTTCAATTCCATTTGTATTCTATTTCACAGGACTATATGCAGGTGCTGGTGGAGGAGGCGCATTTCTTCTGATACTTATCATCATAATAATTGTTGTCGTCACATGTAGACGCAGGTAAGCCTACTAAGAATGAATCTCATCTCAATATTATAAATGTTGTGAAAAATGTATCTAACAAAATGAAATTACACAGTGTAATAACAACTTTATGGGCACATGGATGCTCAGTAAAATACGAGTTCAGAACAACAACAAACAAAACAAATCAAAACAAAGCACAGGAAAATAAAACTCAGCACAATAAGTGTTGCTTGGTCAAACTGTTCTGTCAGGTCACATTCTATTGTTATACTTGATGTGTACTTAACATATTCGGTCCTGACTAGTCTCCATTTTCAAGTTTTACCTTCGCTGTCCACAATTTCTACAGATTTTTTTCTCAGGGGATAGTTTGTTTAAAGGGACTGCTTCGTCGAATGTCCATTTGTAGTAGGTCCATGGTTTAATAGCTAACTGCGCCATTCTGGTATTACTACATCTACCACTTTACACGTTGATGGTATATTAGTTGGCAATTGAGCTTAATTACTTATTCATAGAACATTTGTTTATCTGCTGTCTGGATAGTGGTTTCGATTATACACATAAACACAAATACATATTGCATGTGGCAAATCTTCAATTGTGGAAGCGTTTGTTCTGCTCATGACGTTACCTGACCACATGACCACCGGAGGACAGAATCCTTCGTTTTATAGAGGCGGGGCTTAGTGTTAACAAAGACAACTAAATAAATAATTCTGAAATATTATCTAAAAAAACAGAATGCACATATTGATCGAAGATATGTATTTTTGGCATCCCTAATTTAAAAAAACCCGAACAAATCCAAAACAAATACAATATCTTTAATTTGTGTAGTTGTTTTTTCTTGTGGGGAGGGGAGGGGGCACCTGCCAAACGTGCCCCCGGATCCGCCCGATTCGTGTATTTATGACATGTATTTCCCGGCCCCCATTGTCTTTTCTATTCTAATAGAAATACAGAGAACCGATCACATGCTTCTGGCCATCCATTAACAACGATGATTCCTACTAAGGACGACAATAAAGAACGTAGTAGACCTACCGACGAGGAAGAGGATCCTTGTTATGAGAACAAGAGTGCAGAGACGGAACGCGACTATGAGAACATGACCGTGGACAATAATGAACTAACAAACATGAACTCGGAGAAGAGATCTACTATGAAAGAAGCAACACACGACCCTTCAGCTCTCTATGCCATGCCTGACCTATCAGCTAAAACCTCAGCTCGACCTAAGACGTACACCTCGCCTCCAAATGACACAGATGATCCGTCATTGATGTACGCTATGCCAGATAGAAGAGCTAAGACGGTGTACTCGAGCAACGGGAAAGCAGCGCTGGAGGGGGACAACCTCCACGCGCTGTACGCCACTTCCACGAAAAATCGCTTGGAGCCGATCGGTATGGAGGCAACGACAGATGGGGAGGGCTTGTACGCGCTACCAGACAAAAACCCACGTGACCACGTGACCCAAAATGGCGCCGAAAAGCTTGATGCTGTAGAAGTCATGTACGCCATGCCAGATAAATCACGACGGAACAATGGTGTTAATAACACTGTAATGATAGAAAATGATATCTACAGCTCTACATAGAATGTCATAGGGAAATAGAGAGGGGTATTTTTTAAAAACTTTTGATGAAATAAAAAATGTTTGTCCGTTAAAATGCTTAGGCCTATCCGCCCACATCCATCCAAATGCAAACGCACTATATGTTGCCTTTTTGGTTAATAAAGATAGATGAATGCTAGTTTAAACATACCAAATAACATATTTTCTATTTTTTTAATACAAATGCTATAGGTTGAAATATTCAGTAATCATAAATTGTACACATAAAATGTAAGAACCTGCCATTTATTAAAAAAGATTTTGTTGACAACCCTTAGAGTAGATTTAAACTTTGGTTAGTAAAATAATTGTATATATAAGTATCACATGTGTGTATTTTTTATTTATCTGTGCTATGAAAAGAAAAGTGATGTCTATACGAATGAATAGAAATCAAAATGTATACAGATTTGTTCAATTATGGTAAATGGTCCTACTTTTCCATTGATACATATTTTACTATACAAAGAAAAGTATCTCTGCTTGCATGAACTTGTATTACACGATTATAATGCATATAACTTGTAGGACACACACTATGAACATGACGGACAAAGAAAGAGGAGAAAATATACAGTTCCTCAGGTCGACAAAGGAACATCCCTTCACTGCTATTATGTAAAAATGTGTAGAACAGGTGAATATGCATGTAACATCTGTTCTACACATTTTTACATAATAGCAGTGAAGGATGTTCCTTTGTCTACCTGAGGAACTGTATATTTTGTCCTCTTTACTTGTCCGTCATGTTCATAGTGACAGGGAGGTCGAATCGTATTTTCTTTATTTGTTATTATAGTAAGGATGATTGCATGCCCTGACAAAACATGCATCGGATCCTGTCTACCGGTGACAAATTGATTGGTTGTGAAAATTTAGCTACGAAAAATAATCACAATTTCATGTTTTCCTATAATAGGTGCAAGGGCGAATAAGATGTGTTAATATGTATATTGTGAAATATATCAGTTGTATTGAAAAATAGACTTTTACATGATTAAAACCTGCACCATTTACGGATGAAATAATTTCAAGGATACGGATGTTAATGTGAGATAGCACATATAATGTTTTTAAAAGGACAACCCTTTTGTACGAGATATATCTGGAAAACAATACAAATACTCATATTTAAGACTTGAAATAAATATAATCTGTATATATGTACCATTATAATATATTGTATTGTACAGTAAAAAGTAGAACTATATTTTATCATTGCAAGGATGTTGCATGTTTTAACAAAAACTTACACTGCATCCTGTTTAAGGGCGAACAATTGCATTAGTTTCGTAAATTTGTTAACGAGAAAAATCTAATTATAGTGTTTCCTTATAATATGTGCAAGGGCAATACGGATGTGTAAATACGTATGCAAAATGAAACATATATGTATTACTGAAAATGAGACCTTACACATGATAGAATGCTGCCCAATTAAAGATACAATTGTTAATGTGAGATGTAAATATAAGTTGAATCTAGCTTTTAAAGGACAGCCCTTTCGAAGAAGAAAAAAATATATCTAGAAACTGAGAAGGTAAAACACTTACATTATACACAACAAGCGTGATAAAATATAAAATGCTGCACCATTCGCGGATGAAATAGATATGTCAAGAATATAACTGTTAATGTGAGATGTCATGTTTTTAAAGCACAACCTTTTCGTAAAAAAGACATATCTAGAAAACATACCAAAATACATACATTCAAAAAAGAAAAAGGAAAGAAAATGCGTGTATGTACGTACCACAATAATGTCTCGTATTGCATATTAATTAAGTAGAATTATATTTGATCATTGTAAGGATGATAGCATGTTGTAATCAAACTTCCACCGAATCCTATCTAACGGCGAAAAAAAAACGATATAGTTTCATAAGTTGTGAACAAAAATAAAATATGATGAATATACTGTTTTCTTAAAATCTGTGCCCGGGCAATTGGGATGAGTAAACATTTAAAAAAATGGTATGTATATAAGTTTTACTGAATTAGACACGTTTGCACATGAGTAAATGTATTCATGCTGCCATACATAGATGATATAGATTTTCTTTTACTTTAATTTAACAAGAAAATACGTTGACACACTATATTCAATACAGATATATGGTTCCCATTTACAATGCAAAGCTTTAAAATTGATTAGCCTGTACTGACACTATCTTTTATTTTGGCGTGTATGTACCAAATGATTATCACACCTATGCCATTTTTAACATATTAAATTACAGTGCTATAAATGTATATTTCATAGTCCTACAGCATGAAGGAAGACCTTGGTTCCTATCTATCACATGAAATATCATTTTTTTCTCAACAAACGGGCATGGTGGCTCAGTGGTTAGAGCGCCCGCCTCATGAACGGGAGGTCGTGGGTTCGAACCCGGCCGAGTCATACCAAAGACTTATAACAATGGGACCTTCTGCCTTCTAGCTAGGCGCTCAGCATATTAGATTGGAGAAGGGTAGTAATAACATATTATGTTATGCAGGGCCCGCTGGAAGAGCAGTTTCATAACTGAAGTGGCTACCCTGGGTGAAAACGTTATTATATTCATATAATAAATACAATTATGATATTTAATATTTTTTAACAGCATCATATTTCTTTTATTCAATGTAAGCACGGTATTAACTGGATTCCTATACAAGTAGAAACAAATTGAAGTGTATACGTTAAACGGGAATAGTGTGTTATATTTACAAGGCAAATGTATACTGTATCTTATATATGGTAAATACATCTTCTTTAAAATGTTTAAATTATACACTGGTATACAAGGAGAATGATAACATTTGTACATAATGTCATGTTTATGATGCACACTTCAAGCATTTAATAAATTGGTGCTGGTAATTCTCTTTTCCTGTGTTTATTTACATTATTATCTATCTACATATTTCATTTCTTTATTGTGTCCATATAGGATAATACGTTTATTTTGATGTTATCAAAATAAACCCAATTGTAATAGAATGCAATAGTGTAGGCCGGAAATATGCGGCAAGCCGGTGACTACACACGATAGCGCGCCTCTTTTGTAAAATGATATTGAGGTCAATAACCGAATGTTTCCCAGCAGGTCGGCAAATATCAAACATAGGCGCATCTCTTTGTAACCTACATTGAGGTCACAAAGCCGAATCTTTACCACGCGTGTTTTGTAAATATCAATGATAGGCGCGCTTTTGTAATACATATCGGGGTCGCAAGGCAAGTGTTTCCCACGACGTGTATTTTTACTAATCAATGGGTCATTCTCAGCTAATACTCCGTTTGAGTTGGTCGTGTTTTTCCCTCCCTCCCTCCCCTCAATTCCTTGCTGACTTGTGGACGGGCAGGATTAGGCTCATGATTATTGGGTAGGAGGTTGTCAGGGGGAGGGGGCGGTCCTTTATTGAG